AAAGTATGCATGCATGTTTTTTGAACATTTGTGTTTATTTATTTATTTATTTATTAACACACAACATCCCTCGGAGGGGATGAAAAGGGTTACAAATCAGATATTAGTAAAAGAAAAATAACCACATAAAGAGTAAGGGAACAAAAAGGCATAAAAAAAAAAAGATAATAAGTTGAATACAAGGAATGTATTACTGGCTTAGTTTATGTAGGTGCTGCTGTCTTGTATTAAAACAGTTTTTTAAATATTGCGCTAAAGGAATTGACATTTTCTCGTCACTTAGTAATGATATGAATTTATTTTCATTACTAAATTTGTCAAAATTTGTGTTTATCAACATTGGCACATAGCTTCCGTAACTGGGCGATTGAACGCGCCGGTCCTCGTGTCAATACCCATATCTGATAAAAACAAATCCTTTATGTTACAGTTTTATCACTTTGACCGATTTTTTTGGAGCAGTCCAAAGTAACCCCGGGCCTAACAACAATAATAACATGTTATTTCATCCCATACAAAAAAAACCTACTTTCTGCAACAATTACGCAGTGATTCAATCAATAATTTGTGTTGACATTTTGAATAAATGTTGTTTTTACCAATTATTGTTCAGTGGAGCGAGTCATTCTGCGGAATAGTTCACAAAATGTGCTCTTGAAAAGCTTGTGAAGTTTGCAGAATGTTCCGAATCGGAAAGAGTATTTTATTAAATTTGTCAAAGCATAGACCTTTTTCTGTCGACTATGTATGATACTAGTAATGGTGTCCGGCAAATTAAGCGGGGGGGGGGGTCGTCGTCAAACCTGCACATCTCTTTAGAACTCAATTCCCGTGTAGGTGTTTGCAAAATGTGCCAATTATAATGTCTGGACTAATTCCCCCTCGCTAAAGATAATATTGTAACATGCGAGCGTTATTTTCTCGTGATTTGTTTTCATTCCACCGGATTTATCTCGCCCATATAATACGTATGTACAACATGCACTGGGCACGTGGGTCGTTGCATGAGCCGAACAGGTGATCACATGGACAACTTTGATGACAATTTACAAGACATCTCGTGTATATGAAAATTATATCATTGTTGATTGTACTCAGTTGGCAGCTTATGTGTGTCATCATAGCAGTTACGTACGAAGTTTCAACGAGATTTTTATTTTTTTACAAAAATAGTTGTCAAGACATGATCGGAACTTTGTTAATTATTACATGTTTGCAATGTTTATTTTTACCCTCGAGGTTTTCGTAACAAATACAAATAAATATGTATTCCAAAAGGTTGGATATCATTGTGTTTTACTTGCGTGCGTGTGCGGCCTCGTGACCCCGTCATGACCTATGATCGGGAACCATGCTGCATGGCAATGGAGCATTGTTCGACATACTGGAATAAAAGCACATGCGTTTCATCGAATCTCGTTTTGAAATTACGTGCTTATGTAGACTGTTACTTATTTTCTTCAAAACAAAACAAGAACACAAGCCGTAAATGTGCGAAAATGTCGTTCGCTACTTTTCAGTGGCATACGATAAATTCTACCTAGAAACATACAATATTGCTATTGTCGATTTGATTGGCTGCCCTGATTAATAGTAGTCAAATCCATTATCTCTCCTAGGGGTGAATTAGCAAATCCACTTCATTACCAATTTAGAATAACACTTAATTGACACTATTGAATCAAAAATGCAATCAAAACATATTCTAATAGATCAAAAAAAGCTAATTTGCGATAATTATGATCAATAACATATTGACATTCCGAGACACATTCAGCCCATCTATCTATAAGTCCTGTAAAATAATGGTACATTCCACTTCCGCCTTCACTGTACACTTCATGGCGGATCGCCGGTGAGCAAGTTTTTTCTTTGGTCACGTATTTTTTCGGCGCTTGTTACGGGTGTTTGTCGCCAACAATTACCTTCCAAAATGGTACTTTGACGATAGGAGTAATGACGGGAATCAAGAAAGGGGATCCAAAGGCGGAGCTTGCAACGGAGCAGCCGGATAGTTGTGCTGAGAAGGTACACGCGACGAGTGTTTTTGGACAAAATCGTCGAAACCGGAGCGTGCCGGCTGCTCTTAGCACTATCGCGGACCCGTCCATTGAAGCCTGTCAGGCAGACAAGAAAGGAGGAACGAATGATACTGAGCCATCAGTGGACCCTTCGATAATCAAACTATTCAGTCGAATGACTGTTGGGTTCAGGTAAGCTGCCTTTTCTCAATTTTATCCCTTGTTTTCCGGCGCGCTTTCTTGCAACTGCTATCGCGATGTTTCTTTTTGTACAAGACGTGCACGTTCGAGGCTACTCGTCAGAGAGGGCGCTGTATAAATTATGTCCGGAGTCTGGTCGGTTAATAAGTTTTTAAAACTAAAATTGTACTTTTAACTCTGCGTATTTCATTAATAAAATCACAGTCGTTGAAAATATCATCACTGTTATAAAATGATCACTGTTTAAAAAAAAATATTTGACAAATAAAGTAAGCTATTTTTAAACCCTAAAACAAATATCAGTACAATGTAGCACTTACAATAAACTTTTTCTTACATTATTGCAATGCCTTAACTTAAAAATAGAACTGAATTAACAATAGAATATTTGTCAGCATGTAGAACAGATAAAATGTACACGTATAAAGACAATTGCTTCAACCCCCAACTTCATGCATTACTTCTTTGCAAAATTTGATTGATTTGTTGAATTGAACAAAAAATTCCTAAAATGATTTCAACACAATCATTATAAATAAATCTGTCACTATTATTTTTGTTAACTTATTTGTTAGTCCAGCTCAATCAAACGATTTCATGAGAAATCCATTACATTATTCGTATCATCGTTGTTAAATCCACTTTGATGTGGGTGGCAGTTGCATACCCATGCTGTTTCATGTGTCTACAATTTTTAATCAATGGAATATAAGTGTGACAACGATTAAAGTGCAATGATCGTCGCGCAGCATGTGTTCAAACAATGTATTTACCACATGTACCTTGCTATGGGATCCATATATAATACCACCGCCTCGTAACATTTAAATTCTGGCGTATGAGAATGCATATGCAAAACAAAATCAAAAATTCTTGGATGTGGTTTACAAGTTTACAAAGTTGTGTGTTCAGTTATGACTTTATAGGTTAGATGGTAGTACAAGAATAACTTTGATGACCAACCAGTCTATTGTTGTGGGGATCACCCTTGGTAACATTACTGTTGTTATAAATATTAGATTAATAAATAGACTTGATTACAGACCAGCTGAGTAGCCGAAAGCATGTAATCAGCATTATATACGTAACTATGATGGCTAGTCATGTGGCACATGTTCTAAATCTCAAAATACATATTCACACACTGGACCCCAGTGTCTATGTAAGCGTATATATTGCACTGGTTTTATTATATGAAAGTAGTCACAAGGTCAAGTCCCTCAAGTGTGCTTATACTGCCTATATGTACGTTTTGTATTCACAAATTTATGCTTTCTTGTAAGGCCAGACTTTTATTATCCCTTGTTTTGCGAACCCACCGAATGAACAACAGCCGAAAATGAAATAAAAATAAAATTTTATTTCAGCGTAATTTCTTGCGCCCGCCGACTTGTAAGCGAAAACAATTTGTTAAAAAAATATTATTTTTATCTTCATTTTTTTACCGCCCGCCGCATAACAAATCCAAGTTGTATATAATTGTTACATGTTGTGGTCCTATAGGACATTCCTGTTGCCCAGTAGTACCAGGATATTGTTACTAAGACCCACTTGCCCCATGCTATTTTCTCACAATGACTCGTAATCAACCCAGTTAATAAACAAATGAATGGGCAGTGAAATCCCATGGTGATGTATGCCACAGTAGTTTAGTACTGTGATAATTGTAGCAATTCAATATAGGTCACTGTCAATCATATATTATGATTGCCTTCTTATAAACTATTGTCGTTCGGTCTTTAATTATCTGAGTAAATACATGGTTTTCTGCTGTTTTATTTGTACACACAGTGTCAGCAACTGATAGAATTTATATCTACTGCTAGTACAAGTTATTAAAGCTGTGCATTATTAAAAGCTTATGTTAGTGAAGTTTATTCTCTGGCATATACTATGGTATTTCTGAATTACCTGTACCTTCTGTCATTTTCAATTTATCCTACACTTTATTACATGCAGAAATAATTTGCATAAAAAAAAAATGTTAATCTCTGACATTGTATTTTTGGTTATGATAATTAAGTTACCGTATTTGTTCTATTAGAAGCGCATCTCCAATAAAAATGAATTTATTATGTGTTAGGTCATTGAAATATGTCTGATTTTGACCATGTGATCATTTGCCTATCACTCCCAATCGATACCATTTTGAAAAATTGTAATACTTTAATTTCATAAACACTTGCATTACTGTTTTTAGCGGAGACATTTCTAGCTTGCAGACAATGCCTGAAAACAGTGATTTATATAAATATTTGTTTGTGATCTGTTCATTTTATTGTAGTGGAATTTATGTATTATTTATGGGTCTACTTTAAATAAATCCATCAAAACCATGCTTGCTACTTGTTTTATATGGCTTCTCATTCGACCTGACGAACTTAGGATGATGGCTCCTCGTTTGAATTGACTGTAAATGCATTAATTAATCACTGAGTTGTAATTTCTCTATTTGCTAGTATAATGAAAAACTGACAATAGAAGATATCATTTTCCTGTCAAATTTGTGAACTTTATAAAACTGAGTGAAAATATTCAAAACATCAAATGAAATTAAATGTCATTGAAAATAAATTTTACAGTACTACCCGGTAGTTTGTAAACTGGCTAATTTAAGGTAGCGGGACTATTATTTGCATACTTGTTTT